ATAAAAAAAAAATATATATATATATATATATATATATGTGTGTGTGTATTTTTTCACTTTTCACGACATTTCAATTTCCAATATTGATGCCTCCAATGCGTTTGTCTAAACGACGGAGGACTGGGCCATTGAAGTTTAGCTGGGATCCACATTGTAGGCCTAAAAGTACAAACACCTTTTTGCGAAATATCTTAGCCAGTCCCTTGGTAAGGAGCGGCGGGTTATGACAGCAGGAGATTTTCTTTCGTAATGTTGAGAGATCAGAGGGAATTCGGAGACAAGAAGATGGTTTTATTCATGCTCTGACTTAAGTACAAGCGTTTCCAACGGCAACTTGTTCTATTTTTTTTTTTATATATATATATATTTTTTTTTTTTAATGAAACGATATTTTACCCATTGTGAATAAACCTTTAATTCTTTCTTTACTATATCATTTAAAGAAAATGTTAAATTTCGTGATATTTTATAAGGCTTAGTTGAACATTTTAACAAATTATTAAAAAGTATTTTATAATTTTTTAAGTAAATACATTGAAAAATATTTCGTATAAAATTAAAAAAAACATTATATATACAATTGTTGTAAAGTATTTTATATAATTGGTATTTCACTATCATAAAGTCTAATACAATCCAGTGTGCAAAAATACCTAATATAGTTTCGAATTTCCATTAATTCTATTAATCTATGAATATTAACTCATTCGTCCTCAATCAATTGCCTTTACAAGATTCGTAATAAAAAATTTATATAAAAAATGGATCATTAACAAGAAGCATTAAAAAGACAAAAGCTTGTCTTAGTCTATAAGTACAAAATTAAATAATTATTTGTATTTACATGTAGATGTTGAATTGTTACATTTCGAACAATTTTTACCGCTATTTATTAAAAAATTATCAAGAAATCCTATATGTATATTATTAAATTATATTTAATTCTAAATTCAAAAATTTAAATATTAAATAATTAATAATTTAATTACAAGTGTATCTTCAAATAATGATTAAGTTCGAGAAGTATTAAGTTCGAGATCGTCATACTTTTAATTAGTCCCCTACTTAGTTCTATCTTCTTTAGTCATTAATTTCTTTCATGCTATTTCCCCAATTTTTCTTAATTTTTTATCCCATCTGTTTCTTTTACAATCGTCATCATTATTTCAAATTCCCATAATCATCTATTCCAACCCCACATTTTTGCATCTTTCTCATACAATTTGTCATCCTAAAATATAAACATATCCAGATTAGCATGTTTCTGCTTTATTGTATTATAAGTAGTGATTCAACCTTTTGACGTTTCGATTGTCCTACTCAATAAAATTTATTGACCTGCTCTTTGCTCACTCAATCCTCATAAAATTTTGTCTATTACGTTTAACTTCCTTACTTCCCTCCTCTTTGATTCCCAACACTTAAATTCTTTTCAAACGTTCTTATTTCACATTATCATATAAAGAAAACTTAATTCTACTTATTTCAATATATTTAATCGAACCATTTATTTTATATCAAATCACCCCTCCCCCTTCTAAAGGAAACAAGATTGAAGCATGAATTATAGTATTGACATTGTTAGTGTAAATGTTATACGACAATAATTTCTGATTTTACAACTTAAATAATAATTATTTTCACTTTTTATTCATGTTTACCTAATGTTGTGTACTATACAAAAATATAAATTCGTGTTAGTTATATTTATTTATAATATTAATTAAATACTATGTAAAAAAAATTGAAGCTTTTTGCAATTGGAAATATTGAAATAATATTTGTTAATAATCAGAATGAAAAATCAATTTCTTAAATCTATAATTATTCATTAATAGTTATGTAAAATACAGGCTATCTATTTCTTAAATATCAATCATAATGTATGAAATACGAATACCTGATATTAATGCATCGTAACCTCTAACACTATGGATAAAATAGTATATTTATTCAAATATTCTTGTTTTATGCTTTAGCCATGCGTTATTATTTGTTAGTTATTTACGAGAGAGATATTTTTTAATTACATTATCATTGTAGAAATATTGTACGAATGTAAATGGCATTCCACTGTTTCTCTATGTAAATTGATGACGCTTCAGACGTTTCACTGTCAATTCATATAGTGTGATAGATCCAACAATATCGCAAGTAATTTCTCAAAAAATCAAATCTAAGTCTTTTTCACATTGATGTTAAAAGCATATAGAAGAGAGGAAATGCCAAAGAGGAAGTGCTCAGGGTATAGCGGAAGCTACATCCCAGATGAAGCGAGAGTAAATATTGAGCATATATGCGTGAGATGTGTCCTTTTGCAGCCAATTATTTTTGCACATCGCCGAATAATTAAATTATATCGTAATACAAGTACATTTTAAACCTAATAGTGTAAACCTGATATTATCCATTCACTTTCATAGCGTCGAAATGTAAGTATTAATTATAAAAGGTGCATGCTCTATCGATTTACTTGATTACTCGCTCATTAAATAACGATGCTTTTAGGACTCATTGGTATAAGCAGTGCCGCCATTGAAAATGTATATACTCTGGACTGTACATTTGTTATGACAATTAGACAAAAAAATGCAAACTCTTGTGAAAATGAAAATTATGCTGATGGTTATAATAATATGCTCGGGAGCGTTAATTAAAAGCTTCGATTCGCGGATTCTTTTGCTCAATAAAAATTTGGATACTACAGTATTCGAGAATAAAATTAATATCTCCATTATCCTTACAATGTAGCTTTACCATGATAAATAAAAATCTCGACTTGCTTTACAATAACAAATGCTCTATATCTCGTGCTTATAATTCGCATCGCATGACGGGTCGTGTAATGTGAAACTAATACTCGCGCAATACTGTGCAGAATCCTCTCGGTTCTCAACAACAAATGCGCTCGAGCGAGCCGATCGTGCCCGTCTCAAACGCCACACTTTTCCAATAAGTTAATTACATATCGACGCGTAAGCTTGCTTACCTTTGGCAGAGGTCGAGTATGTCGCCGCCGGGGTCGTCTTTACCCGTGGGCCAACCGGTCGCGTTGGCGTCGATCGCCAACATCAGCCAACGGCTCAGCATCACAAGAGCGATGGTAATCTCCGTGCGCGGCATTTTTCTCGGGGCCCGGAGCGCACGTAAATGCTACACCTTGCGTACGTGTGTGGCCCGATCAAGCGTCGCTCACGGGCAATTGGAAAATCGTTGAGCGCGAGAACGTTAGGGGGTGGGGTGGGACCGCGACGGGGGGAGTAAGGAGGGGCGGGTGGGGGGAGCGGGTGGGAGGGGCGATGGGTGAGGG